TTTAGAGGGGTCAGAGAGATTCTAGGGATGCATTAATTTAATTGTTCCCTTGTTCGATCACATGGCCATGCATGATTACAAAATACTACATGCATGCCAAATTGTTCCTTTGTAACACCCGGGAGACCCTCACAACTCCAATCAGCAATAGAAGTGGTCAGAGCTAGCACTGCATGCACGGGAATTGCAGAGCTGCTGGTTTGGGAGGGCCTACTGTATAGTAAGTTGCATTACTCTCAAATAGGCGGCCTTAACCTTAATTATATAGTTTAAGTTGGCAGTTTTGCACTGGACAGTGATGCGCTGGAATCGCAGGGCCACATGTTTGATTCCTGCCAGAGGGCCTGCAGTTACTTAATAGTTACTAAGAGCAGTTGCAAAAAACGCAACTGCTCTTAGTAACTAAGAAATGTATAAAATTCACACTCGAAATTTCCATCTACACAACCTTTCCCCCTCTACATAACCTACAACCTTATGCACCTATCAATATTAACCCAAGCAAAGGGTGGGGATTTGATCAATCAGGTGGTCCCATGGGTTGGGATTTGGACTGACGCTTTTTTTCTAAGTGGCCCGAGGGTGGGGATTTTTGACAGATTAACACTGATCTCAGACGATATACTGAAGAAACCTGAGTCAATTTTTGAACAAACTGAAGACTGGGCAATAGTTCATCGCTCGCTGTCTCGCGTGTTGTTTTTACAAGAAATATGGAGATTTTTGGACAAGAAATAAACACTTATAAGCCATTTTATAATTATATTAATATCGATTTATACTTATATGTTAAAAGTTCACATTATGTACTATTTAAAACACGAGTGGGAATGTTTTATCAGATATAAAATGCGAGGCGCAGCCGAGCGTTTTATGTCTGATAAAACACTCCTACTCGTGTTTTAAATAGCTTAAAATACGACTACAGAAGAATACTAATTAGGGCAAACAATTATATAAGAATACTGATTAGGATGAACAATTATATAATGCCACATGCATGCATGTGTTTTATTAGCCAGTGTTCCAGTCCACTACACTGTGGTGTAGCCTCACGTGACATAATATGGCTGACATGATTTGTCGCAAGGTATATGAATTATTAATGAGTATTTTAAGTTATTTTGAAACGTTCTTTATATTTGTTATACTTTTAAATTATATCACCAAATGTATTTGTGTAATTTCCCTACCACCTGACATAATAGAGTGCACCAGAAACCAAATACTTAGGAATATACAATACAGGAATATACAATTTCATTCCGGGGGTGGGGAATTTTGCCCAGGAATTTTCTCCCGAGGGAGTGGCATTTGACATTTTTTTTTGTAAAAATGTCAAATCCCCACCCCTTGCCGGACCGCCCCCCCCCACCCTTGGGGTTAACATTGATAGGTGCATTATCAAAATAAAAATTTCCTAACCTGCAACCTAGTATCAGAATACAAATTTCCTAAGGGGTCAAGGAAAATGTGACAATTTCCCAGTGAAAGGATCAGTCACTACCAATATATCACAAAAATTTCTGAGGGAGACAAGAAAAAGAATGGGAAAATTCCAAAGGAGGTTTCTTGCCATGGAATTTCATAAACAATTTCATAAACAGGCATATTTCTGGGGGTGTTCTGTAAAATTTAAGGAGTTTTCAAGTGCTTGGGTTGGGCTAGGGTCCAGGGTGGAAAGTTTGTAGGTTGCACCGAAGATCTTCGGCGTGGAAAATTCACAAATTTACTCCATTTTGGCGCAGAATTATGGGAAAACGAACTGGTGTGGCGCACTGGCGTACAAAAATTTATTTAGTTATGCAGACTACAACGTTCTTAACCATTTCTGTTTGTATTTCAGCCATGTAATAACAGGAATTTGATTGAGCACTGACTGTGAATATGTTTAAGGCGCATGTTACTGAACCTTGATCAAATCTTTGGCGCACAAAAAACAAACTTTCCACCCTGGGCTAGGGTTAACTAGGTCAAGGGGCCTTACATCAGAGAGCTCTTTGTACAAGACGAGGGGTGTGGAATTAAATGGAAAGGCCCTCATTTGAGGGATTACACCTGTATGGAATGCACAATAGATATGTGCTAGACAAAATTCTAGGCTTTTGAAACTGTGCCATTTTTGGGCCAAAATACAAAATGTATGAGCTTTGCTGCACTGATTTGTGTGCCAACACAGACAGTTGCACACCAGAAATATTTGGAGCACAACATGTCCGGAGTACAGCCTTCTCATTTCCTACTAGGACGTTAAAAGTATTATTTATGTTGCTGCCCCC